AATAATAGCAGTAGTAGTAGTAACAATAATGGTAATAATAACAACAGTAGTAAAGATAGTAATAATAAGAGTAATAATAACAGTAATAACAATAATAACAATAATAATAATAATGTTAATAAGAATAACAATATTAATAATGAAAAAAGTAATCAATCATGTTGCGCCAAAGGCGAGTTGTAGAGGGTGGAGTGAAAGCATCTGTTACGCATGCGAAATCGAACTACGTACGTATTCTTCTTTAAAATTATGACAGCACTTACCTCACGCAGCTTTTGTGCGGCAGCGTTTCGCTCACTTTCGGTATCATCCGATCTTCCGTCGCCAACAATCACTAGAACAGCACGGGCATCCGATCGATGGCTTCTGTTATACTCTCTGAATAAGTGGCAAATTCAAACGAGTGTTTAGAAAATGTTACTTCTTATGCGTTCAGTAAAAGAATAGGAAACAATGCATACTGCTTGCAAGATAGAGCAACCAAGCAAGTGAGCTAACGTACGAGCGTAGCACGAACATGCATCACTATGCGTGCTCGTGCTACACTCGTACGTTAGTGTAGCATCAGAATAGTGCGACCAATGCCGCAAGATTCTGGAATTCGCAAAGCAAAGCATAACGGACGCAAAAAAAGTGGCTAAAAGTTTTTTGCACAGTTACAAAACTGTCTGCATAAACTTTTGGTGCTCAAACATGAGATTAGGTAGACCATAACTTTTTTTTAGGCATTCTTGCCTCCGTGTAGATGTGAATCATGTCCACAAAATCTTAGCCCATCTGGTGCAGTTATCGGATTACAGAATTTTCAGAGTCAGCGTTCGAACTGCTCCACTTTTGTGATTCGGGAAGCAGCGAAAACCAATTTCATGCACACTTAATTGCACATTACTGTGAACTAAGCTCATAAAATTTTAGATTTTTAGCTATTCTGATTGCGGAGTTACAAAATTATTGAAATCAACATCCCACAACTTCGCGCCTGAGATTTGGAAGATACGGGAGATTTGATTTCATGCAAGTTGTGAAGTTTCAGCTCCCACGTCTAAGAAACTGGAAGCATGTGCGGAGATCTGTCTTTATAACTTGCCGAAAAATGATATCTTTTCCTAAGAAGAGACACTCTAAATAGTTATGAAACACAGCTCAGCAAAAAAAGATTGAAAGAATGTGTTCTAGCGAAGAGCTTACTGAAGGGCAAAATTGATAGCCTTAGCATAAGACGGTTTGCCAGCTTCCGCTTGAATCCCTTCGACTATTTTGAAAATATCGGCCTGATTCTCTTGCAAACCAACGACCAGTGTAGGCTCACTGTGGAGAGATATTATTGCAATTTTGACTCGATCCTCATCATCCGTCACTGGTATTGAACCTAAACAGCAATGTACTTGACGAGAGTAGCATAAACCATGTCTACTCAAGCAAGAGGTGAGTAAACTTGCTCTGCTCTGCTTGCTTTTTTTGTTACTTTGAACATATCCTGCTTTACGATTAGATCTTTTTTTGCCGTTAAGACTATAAAATGATGACACACAGCAACTTTTCGACTTTACCGCACTGAAAACAATATAATTTTTTACCAAGCACATCCAGCAGAAGATAACGGTTGGAGGAAATCGATGGATCACTGAGATTCCCTGTTTCGTCTGCGTTATTGAACAGAATGATAAGATCCAAATTGTGGGCCTTACAAATCTCGTCCTTTGTTCCCAGCAACTGTGAATTCTGTTCCATCAAATTCTTGGTTGAAACGGGTATTCCACAGTTTTCACCACCAGTCAGCAGTGATACAACAGCCGTCAAAAATCTAGAATTATTGACGTTACCCGCTAGCAAAAAAATTTAGTAAAACCAAGAGGTAATATAATCATCTTTAGAAACTCAAAGAATTGCTCTCTCTCGGATAGATTTACGTGGTGGGCCAAATCGTTGCTTATACTAGTATCATCTTACATTAAACGAATGAAAAAATCACGGAAATTTTTTTGTTTCGCGCGAGCTCATGTCTTTGAACATGAAAACATCCTTACCTAAACTACTCCTGAGTGCCTCTGCCTCCCACAAACAATGGTTGAGGGAGAGAAACTTTGTCCCTTTTTTCCTCAAATTACCTGGGTAATTTTGTAATACTAAGGCCATGAGTTAGCATATCAAACCGTTCGGTTGAATTATCCCTGAAAATTCGTTCATCACTTCCGATGTAGCGGTGCAGTTCGCGCAAATCGATTTTATCGCCCAAAGCGACGCCAAATAGTTCAGCGCCGGTTGACTGCAGTAACTCACTCGCTTGGAGCACTTTTTCCCACGGATCTTGCGATATACCATCGTTCATTAACACCACTACCTAGAATGGTCACAATTAAATTCAGACTGTGATTGTTTGACATCCAAAACTGACATCTTCGCGCTAGTATCGCTACTATCCGTTTTTCTGGAACTAACGTTCAGTGACCAGTATTTGTAATAAAGCTGGCGATTCGTTTCAGCAGTAAATTGGCACTCTACTCGCGGAACAAGCAAGATTCGCAATATGTCTGGGAAACCTCCTCCTCCAGAATTTCAATCAAATCGGAGTCCGACGCATGTGAAGAAAGTAATTTCTCATGGAACATACCTGGATGGCATCCGGACGCCTTCCGCGACGCAGATCTTCAACAGACAATTCGACCGCTTGAGCCGTAAAAGTACTTCCTCCGTTATACTTTATGTCTTCGATGGCATGACGCACCATCTGAAAAAAAAAACGTAAACTGCCCTTGCAGAGCGAAGAGGTAAGAAGGTGCTTTGATGCACTGAGGCAATGTAAATCTAACAGAAAATACCACTGCAAAGTTCTAACCTGTTTATCTCTTCCCAGACCAAGCGTTTGGCGCAGTGTTGGTACCGAAGTAAATGAATTAATCCCAACAGCAACATGAGTTGCGTCAGCATCAATAGGTAAGCGTTCGATCAGCGAAAGTGCCAGCTCACGTTGATGCTCAAATACTTGCTGACGACTAGTGGATGCATCCAGGATAATTTCCAAATCCATTTTCGAATACTTACATCTAAGATGGTAATAGCTTTAACCAACCTTTTCGTGCTAATTTTATAAATTAAACAAAATTGAAAAATTATTATTTGACAGTTCAATTTTTGAATATTTTTTTAGAACACTGATACAGCGCGTGTTCCCCCATTCTTTCAAGCACACATTTTAACTCTAGAAATAAGACAATTAGAAACTGAAACATCGTCGGCCATATACGAATCCAAAAACGGCAATTTAACTCTTATTTCTGCATTTGGCGCTACTTGCGACATTGCCGCAGTACACAGTATGATGTTCCAGTTCTTTACCTGTTAAAAAGTTACATAATGTCACCCAATAAATAGATCAAAAAGTTATCGTGACGAAAAAAAGAACTTGCTACGTTTTGTGGCAGCTACCGATTACGAACTCGCAAAAGCTTTGTAAGAGAATTCCACTGCAGCACCAACACCCCGGAGCACTTTGTTATTTCAAACGACTTTCAGCGAAAAAAACGCATTAAAAATAGCAGTGACAGCATCAAACTTGAACATAATCACTTTCGGACCGAATCGCCCTTTTTTCTACTGCTCAAACTTTGACAAATGAGCGGTTGTCAGGAAATGTTCTTACTGTAGGCTTTGGATTTAAATTTAGAATCGAGGCTCTGATAAGATTTCGTCACATATCGGCGTCTCTGTGATGGATAAGATTTTTTGGTTATTTTCCAACAGTGAAACATTAGAGCTCTCTTGTACCACCTTTGTTAAATGTCAGTTTTGACAGTATAAGAAATAAATATTTTTGCACCCATTCTCTGTTCAATTTCAATTTTGACAGTCTAATAAATTTTTTTGCGCCCATACTTTTCTATTTCGCCCAAAAATCTCCCCGTGTTTCTTTCGCACTAAATATTATGTTGCATTCTTCAGTCCGAAAAACATTTGTGCGATAGCCCAAATTTATAGGCATATGGGCATTAAAGCAAATTTGTTCCAGTCACTACTGCAGCAACATTACTTACCCAAAGTTGCTGGTGCGATCATGCGTTTTTGCGTGGTTTCT